TTTGTTTGTCTGTTCTTAAACAGTTGCTGAACATGTTTCTTAAGACTAGAAATTCTGCCACTGACTTCGCTGGAGGTGGATGTCAGACCAAGGTGTCTGTAGACTCTCTGGTACCAGGTATCACCTGAGGCTGGACAAATCTTTACAATTACAGCAGTTGCCCAGGCGGAACAGACTCCGTGTGTGCTCTGCTAGATTATATGCTGCTCCTATTTCCTTCCTCTGAGTGAAATTCTCCCCTGAGGATAAGAGTCAACTGTAGCTCAAGTCTGGAGAGACCTTGTCTTTTTCTTCGCTCTTTATTGAACAAAGTATTCAGAGATAGCTCTTCCTATGAAAACAGCATAGATTTCTCACTCAAAGAAGAAAGGAAGGGCCAGGGGAAACATGAAGATCCCTTAACTATAGGGCATGTCGGGAAGGCACCCCGTAGGGCAAGTTTCAGACCCCAAACTAACTCTGTTAGCACTGTGCTCTGTGACTATGGACACTCCCTGAAAGGACAAACAAGTGAAAAAGCAACGTCGGGGGGGGGGGGGGAGGAAACAGAATAATAATTAACTGAAAATAGCAAGGAAATTCCTGGTCCTTGATTCCTGGCTGGAATGTGCCATATACTCTGTCCATCTTAAGCATATTAATCTTTCTACCCATCTTTTCCTGCAGCTCTTTTTTTTCTGTTATGCTCTAAATGCAAAGAAAAGGACTTCCACCTTACAGTCACATCAGGCAATTAATAATAAGGTTTAACAGATCTAGCAGAAACGAATATATCATTAGATTTCTAGCCCCATAAACTATTACCTTATTAATTAAGAAATAGCTAAAACTCACGTTTTTTTCATTCTCAATACACTCTGCAAATATTGACTAGTAATTAATTTGTGTTGGGAGTACAGTTATACTGTCTCTTGACGGAGCTCACTGATCACTATGGTAGAGGAGTGTTAGCTGTGCCACAACAATGAGCAGAGCTTTCCCGGTAACAGGCAATTCTGTCAAAGCCTCACATGAGGCAGAAATTCACTTGAACATTTCCTCGGATCCAGGCAAGGGTTAACAGTGCAACTCTAGAAATATTTGGGTAGGGACTTCCAGAGATTAAAGGACAAACAGTAACACTTTTCTATTCTTGTTATGCACATGCTGTATCTATTAATCTGTGGCACTGAGCTGTCTCAAATTGAGATTGCCTCATTGTTTTATTCCTGAGCTAGCATCTAGTGCCAATTCTGTTTGAAGGAAGTGCTGTTTTAAACTCTGTGAGAGACTTTCTTGCTCCATGAACTGACTTGTGTCTGGGATGTTTTCCAGGGAACTTCTCAGAGACATTTTTCTAAGCTGGTGCTGACTGAGTTTTACTGGAACAACACAGACCAGAAAGCATGGTGACTCTATGCCTGTACGAACATGGCATTTCAATAAGAACACACAGGGATTGCAGAGGCAGCATAATAGACACTCTCGTCCTTTGCCTGGCATGATTTTGCTACATGAGTACGTACTAGAGAAGGTGGGAAAGAGCAAGGACAGGATCATTCTGGTGGTGCTCAGGCCAGTATTGCCAGGCCCCATCTGACAAGGAAATGTGCAATCCTGTAGTTAAGAGTGACCATGTGGAACTGGAAAGAGCTCCCTGAACACATGTTGCTATATGGGTTATGGTGGGTGCAGGCAGAAAATGCTATTTAAACTTTCTGCTTTAGAGGATTCCGTTTTTCCTGTACTAGAAGGCCATAAAGCACTGGGCACCAATGGGTGCACGTCATAAATACCGGGCAACGAATGCCGGTTGCATGGCATCTCTCATTTTCAGTATTAGCCTGCTGCAAGTGCTGTCTTCTCAAAATCCATTTGCACACACAGCAAATTGCTTTCCTGCTAAGGTCATTTCTTCAAGAACTGGGGCAGGAGTCAAAGGACATTTTCAAGAAAACACAGAGGACAGTCACTTTTACAGAAGCAGGCTGTTTCCTGCCTATATTTGTTGTACTTTTCTCAGAGAGCTAAATCCTGTTGTCCTTAATCAGTCCTTGCAAAAGTCCTCTTTATCATCAAGGGCAGGATTTGCCTAAATTTTGCCGCGCTAAGTAGTGCAAATTTCTTTTTAGCAAGCAACTGGATTAGTCTGAGATGCATTACCAGAAAGAAATGCCATAGGGAATCCCTTTGCATGCAGCAGAAGTACATTTTACACTTTTCTGCTCTTTTTTTTCATAATCTGAGGGCAGTAACTCCCAGAAGAGACAAAGAAAGCCTTCTTATCATTTCACTGAGTATTAGAATGACTTTAAAAAGCCAGTCCTGCTAGATTCTGTCTTGAAGAACCTGAGTGCCTTCAAGTACACGTGCTGCTAAGGTGATTTTTTTTAAAACATACCTGAGTGCAAAACTTTCACTCGGACTATATTTTCACTTCTGCTTGCAATATATTCCAACTGTGAAACCTTATCTACCAAGAGACCTTTGGGGAATGATTTGGTACTTATGCATAGACAGTTACTCCCTTTTAGACACCAAAAGGCTTTTTGGTCTTTCTCCAGAAGGACGTGGATCTCCATCTGCGTTTTATCAGCCTCATGCAGATCTCTGGGCTACCCTGCAGCATCTAATATGACACAAAACACCTCTGTTTAGATAATGAAAACGTCCTCCATGCACCAGTGTCTTTTTGACTCATTTTGGATAACCACCAGTGTAAATAAGCAGTAGGCCTGGGTTATAATTGCTTTACACCTTGATTTACTTGATTTATGCAACTCCAAAGAAAGAGAAAACTATGTAGCCAATGCCACGACTCTGATATGATACTGCTTTGCCATATGTTGCATAAAGATCAAAGGCAACACAAAAGCTAGGCCTCAGAATTCAGACTTCTACTGCTACTTTTTATTGGCATATTAAAATGAGGTTGAGATGTGAGGAGGGAAATACATTATTTTCACTTTTAAATTTGCACTGGAAGTCACAGGAACAGAGAAATCCTAGAGTGACATGGAGCTGCAACCCTGAATAAGCATCCATCTCCTGAAGGACCCCAGCAATTTGAGCCCACACTTCTGTACCGGAAAGAAACAGTTGTATCTCTGTGCCCTGTGGTTACCAGGCAGAAATGTAAAAAACTTTGAATTCTAATCTACAGCACCCTGTCAGAACTAACACCCTGTTACTAACTAGCTAGTTCATAACGCTCACCACAGATAATCACACCAAGTCACAGAGTTTGACTCTGAGCTTCCACAAAGTTTGTGGAAACCAGGATCTTGCAATTTATGATTTTTTTAAGACTCTCTCCACTGGCTTGCAAGAGTATAGCTCATATCCTTGCTGATATAAACCAGAGCCATTTTCTTTCAGTGGTGACTACTGTTTAATTACATTTGCCTTCGACTGATACGTCACACCTGTAGTGAGAGCAAAAATGTTCCTCAGATAAGTAGTGACTTTAAGACTAGCTGCTCTAAAATGGACACACAAATCTGGCCTCCTTTGTATTGTGTGATTCTTTAACTTTATTCAAAGGATTCATTTTTTTTCTAACATGTAGGAGGATGTCCTGTACTTTTATGCAATATTTGCTTCTATGGCTATTGCATCCTTTCCAGAAGGTTTCACTTCTCTATTAAGTAATTTCAGGTTATCTGGGTTGGCACATTAAAGGGTGGTAACTGCAGCAGACTGGCTGGGTGTGGTAAGTGTCAATGTGCTGTCAAGATACTTCAGTCCCCAGAGTGGTTGCTGGCATTAAATGCAGAGAAGGACCTCCTCCCTTGGCCCAAGCATTAAATATAAACACGCAAAGTCTGCAATAAGCGCTAAGACCCTTTGACCTCTCTGTTTAAGATTATTCCAATTTCTTCCAATTAAAGAAACATTAGGAAATTGAACGGCACTAAATATTTAAGTCTCTCTATGTACCTACAAAATATATTTGAATCCAAAGCAGGAAAACAAATGTGATACATAAAAGAAATCAAGTATTCTTCCTGTTTTGTCTGGAAAGAATGTTACTGTTTCCCTTCTCCTTACTCTGAACATCAGAAGTAAAGGGAAATGTCTGTTATTTGCAAAGAGCTGATTATAGGAGACCTGTGTTTCCCTTCTGCTATGTGCATTTGAACCACTGAAACATATAACAGTCTCTAAAAGGGACTCTTTTAAATAGGCTTATATCTGTCATCTTCAGAGAAGTTCCACCTCCCTGTATTTCTATTGATTCTATTTATCGAAAGGAGCCCTGCTGATTGATTAAAGCCTAATCCTATAAAAAAGTGGCTCTGCTACTGCCCCTGACTTGTTATTTGCCTTTGGAAAAGAATTTTTTTGTGCTGTGATTCTTGCACTTATCTATTAGGGCAGTGAGTGGCCTGGCATGCGAAGGATCTTGAAGTCCAAATTAATCCAAATTCATAAATAGTTGAAACAATATTTCAAGTGTGCAAAATATACAGTATTAAATCTTATAACTAAAAAAAGTGCCTGCTCTGTAATAATACATACCTAAATGTACACTTTGTTTATGGTCTCTATTCCGGAAACCTGTTAAACACTTATTAAAGGCATAGTAAACAACATTATTAAACCGGCAACCTTGTGATCAACCAACCACCTTTATGGCAAAGCATGGTACTTACGACAGGTGTATATTTCTATTGAACTATCCAAGGAGCTATCTGCCTCTGCAGACCAAGGTTTTCCTTGGGCTCCTGCATCAGCTGAGCCATCTTAAAAGAAGATTCATGAGTTCAGGAGGCTTATTTCCTTTTCTGAGAATAAGAAAGCTGTGAAGAACAAACCCCAACTGTTCATGACAAACAATATATCCTAAAGATAGTATAATGGAACAGTTTATCTACAGTCTTTTTATTTTTCTCAAAAGCTGTGTAAGACACCAGCCAGGGAGATGCCAAGTACTGGGTGAAAGAGCTTCTCTAGTGATTTGAATAACCACGTACTCAAAGTCTGTAGAAAACTTTTTCATTTGTTGGTTTTCTTCCTAGGTAAAGTGGAAGCAGCCCTGGACCTCATACTGATCAATTCATTCCCTCTGGTGGGCAACTCAGAAACATCACTTATCTGTATCACTTCCAAATGGCGTTCCCGTGAGTCTATCACAATAGACCGAGACCAGGAGGATGTGACAAACCAGCATCGAGAGCCACTGGAAGTTAACGAAGATTCAAGGAGAGCAACAGCCAAAACAGTGGTGTGGAAAAGGGAACAGGCCAGTGAAACCATTGGAGCATATTACTGTGAAGGGAAACTCAAGGATGAAGTTACGAGAATACATACTATGAAGATGCCGCTGGGAGGTACTGTGTGCTGGTCAGACCTGAATTGTATATGTTAATCCTTGCTGCCCGGCAGTTATCCTGGGTTTAGGAGGAGTGGGTGCAAAAGTGGCTCCAAAGTGGGCAAGGCAGTTAGGAGTCAATAAAAATAGACTTGGCTCAAGTCCATTTGTTTTTCTAAAGTGCAGAGACAATTGTTTGATGCTAGTAGCTAGTCATTTTCCTATGCAAGTTAGCCAGACATCTGTAGGTATCCTGCCTGTATCTGGCTACTGCCAGGAACAAAAAAGCAGGTGGTAGATAAGGTAAGCACAGCTGTTCTGGCCTCACCGATGGCATGAAATAATACATGTGGTAACTCCTCCACTGGATCTAAACATGCTTCCATCTCAAATCTCGACAGGTCTGTGAGGTAGGTAGTAAACAATGCTACCCTCTTTTCATAAATGGGAAGCCTGTGCCTCAAAATAACCGCTTTGTCAAAAGCTCAGTGAAGCCACAGATCAGCAGCACTGGATCTACACAGTGCATGTCAGCAAGAGAAAAAAATCTGGCACAGCGCTTGAAAGAAATTCCAGAAAAGTTTATCCGAATCTAAGAAAGTTATCCACAATGATCCACTACAGATTTCACTGTTGATTATTTTATTGATTTTTGGTCGTAAGGCTATGCACAGTAGGAAAACAAAGCCAGCAGGGAAGTAGTAAGATTAGAAGGTGAGATTTCCTTATTACACCTTATTTGACTTCCAGGCTGAGTTCCAAAGCAAAGAGTTCACTAAAAACTCCAGATAAATGTAAGACATTTGGGGTAATTTTCTGCAGCAAGTCCAAATTCCCAAACTTCAACTAATCTTTAGTAGAATTTACTACAGTACTAATGTTTTACACTGTGGCAGCTAATTCATGAGGACACATTTATCTGTCCTCCTATCTGTCTTTCTAAACCGTTAGTATGAAACACTAAAGCCTCTGGCAGGGTGCCAGTGAACTGAGCACATCTCTGGGTCTCATGTAAAGCCATCCCCAAGGGTGGAAGATAGTCTTCCGAATCACTCATGGCTTTTTTTTGCAGTCAGTATGTGTGGCCCCAGGAGCAGAGAATTTAAGTAATCAAACTTTGAGAGCTTCCTATATGGCAAAAGTTATTCTGACCAGAAACAACATAATATTCATGCGGCAGTAGATAGATTTCTATGAGTCGTTTCTGGGTCCTGAATCTCTTTCTCATCTTTTCTTTGCAAAAGCTTTGGATGACACAATTTGAGCTAGCAACTCATCACTGCATGTGCATAAACACTGTCGCGCTGAATGGGTGAGAAAGAGGTGTGACAGAAGTTCTCAAAGCTATTAAAGTCCACAGAAAAAGGAAGAAGAGGTCAGTGAAGGACTGTGAGGTTTGGCAAACCAACATAGTTGGAAAACAGGCCTTTTTCACCTCTATTGCTGTAGTCTGAAAAATTTTTAAAGTCAGAGAGTGTTCTTCAAAATAAAAAAGTTGAGTAACAGTTGAAATGTGCAGTTTCTCATTGAAGACACAAGAGACAGAGGAAGGAGCAGCACTTTTGAAATTTCACTTTTGAAAACCCACGGTTTTATGGCCTTAGACTACTGAAGGTAGCTACTACTAACCTGCTGAATTACTCAAAAGTATTATCCATTTGGGTAGCCTCGCTGGCTTTAGCGGGATTTGTCATTTGCCTAATTATGTATCTATTACCAGATATGCAGATACCATGAAGATTTTTTCCCATATAATCTGGAAAGATAAGTGGTTCACTTTCCTATTTGACTCTACACATGCACCACACTGAAAGTAAGATGCTCATTAACCCACATCTGTTATATTTTAGCGTTATGGTTAGCATGTAATATTCATATATGCAATAAGAGAAAACAGACTATGTTTTTTATAAATATATTGGGAGTAATAACTATACCGTATAAAGTACACATATCTAGAATAGAATACTATATAGCCTATTCTGCATCTAGTCAAATCTAGTTTATTCAGTTTTTCTATGCAATAGATGTACACTTTCATACATACACGAATTTCCCGTACAGAAAATCTCTACCATAGGCAAATGGACAATAATAGAAACACTAATGAAAGAGTTTTGGTGTTTGCCTTGCAGCTCAGTTCATTATGTCTCTATAAGGAATTGGTACACTCAAGTTGTAAAAACATGAAATGCAAGTTGCAATCGAAAAATACTTTGGAACTGAGCACACCAGGGACTGTGGGTTCCTTTTCACTGCAAAAATACTATGAAGAAAAAGTCTTGTGGATAAGATAAACAACATACAAAGAAAACAAAATGGGAAGACAAAAGTTAATACCTCATTACAAAAATTTAATAGTACCTTACTAAATCTGGTCCAAAAATGACTGCAAGAAAAACACTGAGCGTCATTTATAATTAACAACTCATTTTTGGGAAAGCTGTTCAATTTTCAGTTCCTTAAACAGATCATGATTTTTGCCATGCATTTATTATTCATAAATAACTTTCAGCTCAGATGTTGATGGGAAGCTGACACTGCTCTCAGTTTTTGTTTGCCTGTTTCCAATGAGAACTTACTTTATTGTTTCATATTAGAATTCTCTGTCTAGGATACAGGTCCAGATACTGACACAAAGGTAATATGGCAGGTGATCAGTAGACCCCCAGTGTTTAGCATCATGCAGGAAGAGTCTTGCTGAAACCAACTGGATAGCACTTACAAACAAAAGCATGAAATAACATACCAAAGGCTCAGAATATAAACACTAAAACTGCACAGAGGATGGAAATTCCAGTTTGTAAAGAATTTTGAGTTTGCAATGGCTGTCTTATTTCCAATTAGAAATGAAACCTTAAAATATCAAAATTCTCCAAGAAAGAAAATATTGGTAGACAGGTTGGTTTAGTCTGATTGAAATGTCTTGATTTTTTTCTCTCAAATTTTCCTTATCTAATATTACATTACAAAAACATTTTGATGTTTAACTAAAACGGTATTCAAAATAGAAATACTAAAATGTTCTTTAAATGTTTTTTCCTCCAATATTGCAGTAATACTATACTTTTTCCACAGATTTTACAAAACAGTATTGTGTAAATACTAACAGTTTCAGCTCCACAGGTAGATGTTTCAAATTTCACGTAACATCTACCCACTTGTTTTTATAGCTCTACTGCATACCTAAGATAACAGAAATTTAGTTCCTTATTTTTTCTCTGCTTTCTTATCTTATTTCTATGAATTTCTTCAAAATCAAATTTCAGCTACAAATCCCCAAATTTGTTTTTTGTAATCACTTGCTGATTTTCTGAAAATGAACCAAAAAAGAGGCATGACTGTAGATAAATGAAAAAAAAAAAAGATTAAATTATGTCACCAGTTATACCAGTTTGTATATGTGTTCCTTAAACAAAATATTCCCTGTAAAATAAATCCGAGTTCAGTAAAAAAAGAGCCTGAGCAAATACAGAGCCAACTAGGAGCATGAATGATTTCTGAAAGATTTGTTCCAGGTGAGGCTCGGGAGAGACTTCCAGTCTGAAAGGTCCCACTCATCTTGCTGGTGAGGAAGGTGACAGCAGTGCCAAGAGGCTCCTGGGAGCTGTACAAAAACAAGATGCAAGAGGGTCTTACCCATGAGGAACTTGTGCAGGAAGAACTTTGAGGCTGAACAACCCCAAAAATGGAAAGGGGAAAGAATGTGGTAGAAATCAACGCTCTGCATCTGTGAGCGATCTAAAAGAAAAAGTACAAAGATGTAAGAAGGATGTTCTCACTCAGATAAAGCGCTGAACAGTTTGGAGAATAAACATTACATATTTTTGGAATAGTGTTTTGGTTTTTTTTTTTTTTTGGCCACACTGCTTATCAGTTACAGTATGGTATCAAAACTCAGAGCTAAAACTGGTCAGAACACCCTGAAATTTGTTCCCCAAAAAAAAAAAAAAAAAAAAAACCCTCACAACTGTCCCTTGCAATTTTTAAATGAAAAGAAGTGTCCTTAACTTCTCTTAACTTGTTTAAAAGTGATATGTTGCAATCAAAATTACCATTTCACTGGGTCCAAAACAATACTCTTTTTTGAGATTTTTCTTCCCCTTCTCTGGTTGTTTTCTGGTTCTTTTTTCCCTGGTAATGATAGGGAAAATGCAAAAAATCTGTGAAAAATCCCTCAATTGACTACCT